TTTCTCACTGGTTATCAGGCAGTTCTATTAACAGTTGAAACTAGTAAGTATTAAATTCTAATATACTTTATGGTCTGCATTTGAATTTCAAAATATATCTCTATAGCAGAAAGGATAGGCATTACTATTTTACATATGAAAAAAATCAAAATCAAGGTTCATAAAAAATTTTAAAATGGAACCAAGGTTACATTTACTGAGTAGGAAACCTGGATCCCAGGACTTCAGACTCAAAATTTCTGCTATGAGCAATGTTTTTCAAAGAGACACTTCTTGGCATAAGAGACAAATAACTGGAAAATTCACTTTTATAGTGATTAGTAATTAGGGAACAGGCTACCAAGTCAGACCTTCTTACTTCCAAACTTAACTTTCACTGCTTACCAGCTACATGACTTGGCCCTTTTACTTGGCCTTTTCATCATTTAAGAGCAAGTACTATCATCAAACATTTACAAAACCTTATTTTAAGGAGAGAAAGAATAAGAATTTTTTAAAAAATCATGGTCCGTATGTTTTGTGGCAGACCAATTTCTCATAAGAAATATAATCATTATATACTATAAATGTACTAATAAAAAATTGCTTAATCGTACTTTGCTCAGAAGAGTACATTCTTTACAATTATAAGCCATTATAAAATTTCCTTTGGGGGGCAGGCATCTAGCTCAGCACCACAAGTGCCTGCCTGGCAAGCACAAGTTTAATTTCCTGAGTTCAATTTCCAGTACAAACACAAACACACACACATACACACACATACACCAAACAAAAACTCATAATATCACATCATATCACATCACTTTAATTGAGACAGATGAAATTTTCCATCAAGTATAAACAAAATAAGCTCCCCTCCCTGTTCCAGTCAACTGAATCTGTCCAGGAAAGTGACACTTTTTTTTTTTTTTTCCTTTTTATCGGTACCGGGGATCGAACTCACGACTGCCTGCTTGCAAGGCAGGTGCTTATGCCGCTGAGCTAAATCCCCAGCCCCGAAAGTGACACATTTTCTCAAATAAAATGAAAGCATCACCATCAGATACTGTGCTAAAAAAAAAAAAAAAATCAGAGTGCTAGCTAAGACAATTCCCCCAACATGCCTGTATATGTGTATGCAAACATATTACAGCATTACAAAACAAAATATTCCAATTCACTGAGGTCAAATATTACCCAAATCTGATAAATCTTGTCACTAAATTTGTGCCTTGAAACAGCTACATATTCTAAACAGATAAGCAAACACTTATTTAATAATAATTTATTTTACAATAATAAATGATTTAGAGGGGGTGGAACTGGGGATGGAATCCAGGAGTTACATTCTCACCTATTTTTTATTTTTATTTTGAGGCAAAGTCTTAAGCTGCCAGGATGGGATTCAAATTTGCACTCCTCCTACCTTAGCCTCCCAGAGTCCTGGGATTACAAGTATGACCAACCATGCAAGACTTCCATATGACCATTATAAGAATGACATGGATTTTAAAATCATTTAAAATTAAGATGGGTGTGGTGGCACACAGCTGTGATCCCAGAACTCTGGAAGGTTAATGTAGCAGGATTATAAATTCAAACTCAGCCTAGGAACTTAATTAATTAATAACTCAATTACACTGTCTCAAAAAAAATAAAAATTGGTGGGAATCAAACTCAGTGCAAAGGCCCTGTGTTCAAGCCCCAGCACTGCAGCAAACAAATGAACAAAATAAACAAAAAAACCACACAAGTAACATGGGGTAGGATAAGGAAGCATGATGATCATGATCATCTGCATGAACACCGTATCCAGAAACAAAACTCAGAATGCAGACTATGCTAGAATGAAGGAATTCTTCATTACATTCAGTCTGACATTATTCTATTAAAAAATCATTCTTTAAACAAAAGCACTTGCATTCTTCCAAAGACCAAAGTGAATGATCTTGGGAACACTGAGGTTTAAAAGGCAAAATAAAAACTTCATGGCACTCTTCCAGAAACTAATTACACTTCCACTCACAATCAGCAAGGGGAATACATCATTAAACATTTCAAGGGTAAGAATGCTACCTTCCAGTAATGTAAAAGAACTATACTTTAAATTATGTTATTGCTATATCCTAATATATAGTAATACAAGTTTTCCATCAATTACTTGTGAAAGAACAACTACAAACAAGTACAATATTTCAAAGAAAACAAAAGGATTAACACTAAAGAATACGAAACTAGGTTGCCAATGTTTTTTGAATTTTTCTTCTTTCATGGGCTACTAATTATCAGACTTCCATCTCTCCCCATAATTTTAAGGGTCTCCATTCACCCACTAAAAGCCAAAATCATGCTCTTCACACTTTGTTATTACTCTCAGTCCTTTCTGGTTTTACCTCTCTAATAACACTTGTCAACAGTTAAAATAGCACATAAGCCAAACGAGATCTCAGCACTTACTTAAAAAGGTCAGGAAAAAAATGATACCTGGATTTTTATCCTGAGGACACCAATCCAAGCACTAAATTTTACTACTGAATCATTAAGTTTTTGGAGGAGGGGATGGCAAAACGTGGTTTAGTATTTCCATTCTCTTCATATTTGTATAGCCCTGACTTGTTATCTGTGATAGTTTTCTGAATTATCATAAGACATGCGGTATTCTATTCAAAATATTGATAAATTCCATTTATTATCTATCTTTCCACATTTCTATGTTTTAAATCAACCACCTACCTCTAAAGCTAATGTGACTAAGCAGTGAATTGTATGGTCTAAAGGCAAACAAGACTTATCCTAGGTTAAACAGAAATGAACCTGTCATCTGGAGGAAAAAATATTCATTTGTCCATTTCAAGAGTCCCGTACAATTCTATCTCAGTGTTTTGTAACCCTGCCGCTTGTACACTACCTACAACCTTTCTCAGCTAAACTGAGAGGTCAGCATGACTTAGTGCCTAGAGACTGGCCAGGCAGCTTCAGTTTCCAGGCAAAAAAATGTCCTGCTGAAAAGAAAACCCAGATGTCCTCAGCACAGCACTTGAGCCTAAGTAGATGCCTATATCTACAAGTTACTCACGTTACTGAAACATGGAAAAACGGTAAATAAAAAAAAAAAAATCAAGATGTTAACTGAACTCAATCCTAGATTACTTGCAACCATGATTTCTTTGTTCTTCAGCTGAGTCCCACATTGAATGGAATTTTTCCTCTAACTATACATTTCTCTTTGCCACTACTCTCCTTTCCGCCTCTCCTTAATGTTAGCCCTACACCCATAAACATAATGAAGACCAAAAAATGGGGTTTTTGCTTCATTTAGCCTAGAACTAACCAGAGTAACTAAAACAGACTTTTGTAAAGATAGAAAATGCACACTAAATATGTTCACTGTGAGCCTTGGTCCAAGAATATAAAGCTATTGACAGCATGTGGTTACACTTAATTAAAAGAGATAAAACTATGTGTGCCATTCTTTCCTTTATCCTCTCACCCTCTCTAACTCCAAGCACATTCTGGCTACCTCACTTTTCTAGAGAAATAAACTAAAGGAAAACCCTCCTCTTAGGCTGAGAACTTTACCAAATAGTTTACCAGCATCTTCAAGGTTACTACTAAATATGCCACTGATTTTCTGTGAACTATTCTGATTATTTACATATAATGAAGGTTGTATATATTATATCATTCACACACATGCATTAAAAATAACCTGGGGGCTGGGGATTTAGCTCAGCGGCATAAGCGCCTGCCTTGCAAGCAGGCAGCCGTGAGTTCGATCCCTGGTACCAATAAAAAAAAAAAAACCTGGTGCTGTGCTCTGATGTACAGCTTACAAAAATACCAAAAAGGTGTGTACATTATCTAAGGCTCATACAATGGAAATTATGCATACATATCTAAAAGCTCAAGTTTACAGCAACTTAAAAACATCTATTTTAACAAGTTGCTTGTAATTAGACATTTACAATTACAACTGTAGCTATTACAAGTTTCATTAAATGATGTACAGCTAGAATTTGGGAGATGAAAATAAAATTAAAAGAATCACAAAAAAAAATACATCCTTTAGAAATCTTACATTTTTGTCTTTGGGTAAGTCAACAAGCATGTATACATTTATACAGCTTTCTATTTACTGTCCTATTTATACAATTCAAGATCATGATTTTCCCTATTTGATGCTTGCTTCAAAATATCTATATACACCAAGTCATTTGTCTATATACACTAAGTCATTTGTCGAACTGCAGATCTAAATAAGGCAAAAGGTATAAACAAACATGAGAACCTACAGCCACCATTATTTACAGTAATTAAGAACATACCTTGTCTCCCACTAGGAAGAAAACCACACAGCAGTACTTGAAAGAATCATTCACTCTTTACCGTCATTCACCTTCAGGGGTTTTTTAATTTTTAGGGAGCAAATACTGATACATTCACATAATTTTCATGAGTACTAAAAAATATCATCAAAGTTCTAAGCCACATCCCTAGCCTTTTCTTATTTTAAGACACAGTAGCACTAAGTTGCTCAGGCTGATATAGAACTGGCAATCATCCTATTCAAACTTGCAAGGAGATGGAATTACTGCTTGCACTGTCATGCCCACTGTCTCAACTTTTTGAGCTCTACATTTTAAAAAAAAAAGAACAAATCTTTTCTGAAATTATTATTCGATATCAACAGGACAATATTGGAAACCCAGAAACTGGAAAGAATCAGTTGCTGCCCATATACTCATTTTCCTCTCATGAAAATTGAGTAAAAATGTCTATTATTTTCACTAATATGTTAATACAAATTCAAATATTATCTAAGTTCCTACAGAAAGTTCTATTTCAACCAAACTTACTTTAAAGAAAGACGTATCTGCCAGACATGGTGTCACATGTATGCAATCCTAGCCCTTGGGAGGCTGAGGCAGGAGGACTGCTGTAGAGCAAAACTCTGGCTCAAAAATAAAAATAAAAAATAAAGGACAGATATGTCTAAATGTCAGAGGATTCTAATAACATACCTGAGTTGGAGCCACAGCAGCAGTTACAGCTGATGCAGCAGATGGGGAGAGACTTCCCACCTGCTGCAAATGCCCTGAAGGCTGTGGAGGTAAATGTGAGCTGGAGACAGGAGTGCTGGAACCTGAGCCAGATACCGCGTTGGGAAATGACGCTCCTGCATCACCATTGTTATAAATACCTGCAAGAAAAGAAATGCTATGTAAGTATTTTAAAACTTAGCAATCAAATGTGTCAATGACATGTACTATTAATCAACAAGTTAAAAATACACTTATTCCTGGGACCTCTTCCAATTATAAATTTTATTGCTACTATTATTAGAAATATATTAGTTAAGCAAATAAACATTGGCTTTTCATAAAGTACTTCTCACTTTTCATTTGGAAAAATGCTGAAAGACAAGGACCTCAGTAGAAACACTTTTGTGAAAAAATGTATTAGGGGTTGTAGGAGTGCAATGAACTAATGAAGGGGGGACACAGCTCAGTGGTGCAATGCCTGTCTGGCAACCCAAGGTTGTGAGTTCCATTCTCAGTTTAAAAAAACAAAAAAAAAAAAAAAAGCAAGGAAAAGTTTCTTAAGTAAGAGAATGAAGCAGTTAAGAGTTTTATAAAAACCAGTTGGCAAGCCTTTCAAAATGCACATGCTAAGACTCTAGAAATCATGCCTGCAAAGATCTGAAATGGAAAAAGATCTTGTTGAAGAAATAAAGTAAAACACTAGACTTTAAGTTCAGAGAGCATCACCGAGACTGATAGCTTTTGTGTGACACAGCTGTGAGAATGAAACAGCACTGGCTTCTAGAGACATTCAGAAGACAGAATATACATGAGCTTTGGATTGACTGCATGGGATGTCTGCACAGGGATGGCAGCAAAGAGATGCAAGGTATGATGACGACTCGGGTCAACAAGGTGGTGGCACTATTCACTCCAGGAGCACAGCAGATAAAAGATGACACGGAACTTAATGAAAACATGTTTAGCTGTTTCACAATGGTTAAAGTCAGAAAGAAAAGTAGCAATGATGAAGTAGAAGCTATACAGTCTACAAAACTGGATGAGGAAAGAAGAGGGAAGAAAAATGAGTCTAAGAGGAAATAAGTAGTTCCTAGATGAAAACAAGGCAAAAAGATCCATGTTAAGGTGCTACCAGAAAGGTAACAGAGGAGAGGCCCTCAGAGGATTAAAAAAACAGATCAACCATCTCAAACGAACAGCTGCCAACCAGGGGAGATTTTTCTCTTTTAGGACACTAGGACACCTGGCTCCATCTGGAGACATTTTTCACGGCTCAAACTGGGGGAATTCTGTTAGTATCAGTGGACAGAGTCCAAGGACGCTATACACAACAGTCTCCATGACAAACAATCTGACCCAGAGTGTCAAGAGCATGGCACTAAGAAACCAGGGAGGCAGAGGAAAGCAACCAAGAGCACCTGGCACCTAAACAGGAAGAAAGCTAGAAATAATGAACCTAAGTGGACTGCAGTAAAATTTTAAAAAGAATTTTTTTTAAAAGAAACTAGTCCTAGAAAGCAATAATAATTGATGTTTAATAGGACAATTTATTTTGTTCTAAAGGATATAAATATTAATGATTCATATTTATAAAAACACCCATGACTTTCTTCAAAAGAAGGGAAACAAAAGAATCTGGATGTTTAAAAGGTCTTACAATTGTAACTGAAGCTCCAAGATCTATTTTATAGCTATAAATTCTCCAGGAAAAATGATTTATTCATTCTGCAAATATGTAAGAACTCACTATTTGCCAGACACCACCAAATTCAAGATCTGTGGTCTCTGCCTTTAAGAAGCTTAGTGTGAAAGATCATGGGATGGAGATGCCTCTGAAGCCGGGGTGCAGGGAAGGGGCTCTAACCAGACCTATGAGAGAGGAATGGGAGTCAGAACACTTAAAAGGCAGTTCTAATGGCACTGCGGAACACAGCAGAGCAAGGATGGTCTGAGAAGAAACACTCAACAAAGCAGCTCAATCCCAAAGGCTCAACCTTCCATGTCAATAAACTGTAACACATTTGTAATAAATAAGGCCAAAGCTAACAAATCAAAAGAACACTAGAAGTTAAAAATTCTTATAGCTTGAGGGGTCAGGGGTTTAGCTCAACAGCACAAGTTTTTACCTGGGAAGTGCAAGGTCATGAGTTTGATCCCGGGTACAAAAAAGTCTTACACACTGGAAAACTGAAAAAATATTCCCATCAAAATGGCTAGAAAAGGCAAAGATACAATCATAAATTAAATTTATTAGCCAGGTATGGTAGGGCAATCCTCTAATCCCAGCACTTGGGAGGCTGAGTCAGGAGGATCGTTGAGAGTTTGAGACCAGCCTGGGCTACAAAGTGAGTTCAAGGTCAGCTTGAACTGCATAACAAGACACTGTTTTTTTAAAAAAATTCTTACATTTTGGAGACAATGGGAGCCACTTTTTTTAAGCAGAAGCTTGATGTTCATATTAGAAATGAAAAATATTTCACATTAAAAAGTATAGATTTTTGTTTCTATTTCAAATGTGAAGATCAGTGACTACTGGATACTATGCTATGAAACAGTAACAATCTGCTGGAGCGGTGCACAAGATATGAATATTTTCTGGCATTCAATTTTCCTACTGTGTCACTCACTTCTTCACTCATATTTCTGTTATCCACCTGATCCTATAAAGTATTTGAGTTAGTGTTCCTGATAATAGACGCTGGTCATGGCCAAAGAACAAAAATGGCACCACCCAGCATGATCAAGAGAAGATGATCAAAAAAATCACCTTAGGACTAGCACATAGCTTAGAAAAAGATGTATTCTTGAAAAATTACTATTTGAACAGCTCGTTAAACAAGCATTTACTGGTTTTCTATTATTTAAAAAAATACTGAAGACAGAAAAAGAAAAACAAAACAAAACAGAAGTCTGTCTTCAAAGAACTTAGGAATCCTTTCAGGGATAATCAGTATTCACAAACTACTAAGATAATGGAGAGAAATGTTAGGTATAGGAAGAATACAGAGGAGGTAGGTTTGGTACACACACCAGCAACCCCAGCTACTTAGAAGGATGCAGCAGTAGGATCCTGATGTGAAGGCCAACCTGAAAACTTAGGAAGTTGTTATCTTAAATTGCCTAGGAAATAAAAGATCAGAGAAAGATTGAGGTGGAGACCTACAGAAATACTTAGAACTGGTTTTTCAGTGATTAAAAGATTAAAATGCTGATAGCTTAGTTATTTTACTAGTAAAAAGCCTGCTATAAGTCTCCAACTTTCAATACTACAAGATAAAAAGCTGGAGGCAGCATCTAAAATTAAAGTAGCACAAGCCTCTGACTCAAACTTGGATTGAAATCGTGACTTTTCCAATTACACGATCTTAAAACTATTTTCCAGAGAACCCTTATTATTATCATCTGTAAAACAAAAATAACAGGTACCTTACTTTGAGACTATCAAGTGAAAGACTGTAGCAATGCCAACCCAACGGTAAATTTCAATAAATGGCAGCTGTAGCTATTTATTTTATGTACTAATTAAAAGTTTTATCTGTAAGTCAAACAAATACAGTGTTATAACTCTCACATCCTCTAATGCACCTACTATCCTTTAAAAGTTGCCATCACCATCACTACATACAGTAATGGATCATGGAAATATAAGACTGAGGAGTAAAACTGTGTTTCAATCTTGAAACTTACATCCTATTGTGATATTACATTAATGTGCACGCTGAGGTAAAAGGAAATGACACAGCAAAACATGCAACACAGTGCTTACATTCTGAATTTTATGTGGCACTAGCTTCCACAGTAACACACAACAAATCAAACTTTTACTTTCAGGGTAGGAAAGCTGGAGGGGTAGAGAAAGGGGGAGGAGGTAGGCAGACCGGGGAGAGGGGGAAAGAAAGAGAGAGATACATCAGGCATCAAACTCACACCCTTGTGTTTGCTAGGCAAGTACTTATGCTGCTGAGCTATTTTGCTGCCAGCAAAATTTTCTATTAAGTTTATTGGTATAGTATATTAAATTTATATACCTAATTGATCACATCCATCACCTTAAACTTGTATCCGTATGTGACATACTTTTGGCGGGGGTGGGTGGGTGGGTGGTACTGGGGGTCGAACTCACAACCTCGCATTTGCCAAGCAGACACTTATACCACTGAGCTAAACTCCCAGCCCCACACCCAGATTTTTATTTCCCCTCCCTTCTCATTCTTATTTACAAAACCTTTGTTTCCATTTTATCTATGTTTTCTCCTTTTACCTGTTCTTTTCCCTTCCTTCCTTTCCCCCTTCCTTGTGCCTTTTTCCTATTTTGTGATATCCATTATACATTTTGGTCTTTTTACACTTTCAGTTTCTCACATCACAGAAATAATGGGATATTTACACAAGTGTCTGATATATTTCGCTTCAGAATATACTAATAACAAACCTCACAGAACTAGAGAAAATATTACTAAAACGCATTCAGAACCAGAATGCTGAGCAACAAAGGCAAAGCAGGGGGCATCACAATCCCCTATCTGAAATTATACTATAAAGCTACTATGATATAAATAGCATGGTATTGCCAAAAAACCCCAAACACAAAAACAAAAAAACCACCAGACCCACGGATCAATGGAACATATCAAAAGCTGCAGAAACAACTCCAGACACACTCAGCCATCTTATTTTTGACAAGAGGGCCACACACTCTCAATAGAAGATAGCCTCTTTAATAAATGGTGTGGGAAAAGAGTTTTCAGCACCATATAAAGCTGACTGATTTCCCTCCGGCTAATAAAGCAACACCAGTCTACTAAGACCTCTAGCTCTTTCTGCAAACACAATCCTCAAATTTATTTGCCTTCTATTTAATATGCTATTTTTACCTTTTACAAGTCACATACTATTCTAACCCAAATCACAAAGGTATTCACTGAGTGAAACAGAACTAAATAATGTGCAAGCTCTAGGAAAGTCACTTGAAATGCACCTGTTTAGGACAGAGAATAGAAATAAAAACACCGAATGACACAGAGGGATGACAGCGCACAATGATTCATACTGTAGTGGATTGGTACCTGGTGGCCAACTTAAAACAACAGATAAACTGAATCAGAGCAGTGCTGAGCATAGATGGCCCACCTGAGGACTGTTACCAGCATAAAAAGGA